ATACGTCTCTGGATCCGCCACTGATATTGAAGGTGATTGTTCCACTTGCATGGGGAACAGTACTAAGTAGTAGTATTACATTTAAATTCATATGCTGCGTTTGAGTTTAAAAAATATACATATATAGATAACTGATATTTGTAAATAATATAGATAATTGAATTGAATAAGGATTCTATCAACATGATGGAAAAAAATAAAGTTTAAATTTTAATAGATAAACATACTATCAACCTATCAATAGGTAAATATGACTATGACAACGCCGTGCTGTGTTGAACGGCTTTAATCCAGAATACGTTGACTAGTCATCAGAACCCACTATCAACTTGTTCATGTTGTACCTATCATTTGTAATATTTTTTTTTAAAAGTTTGACAAACAGTAATCATATAAACAGTCTATTGTGCCTTCAAAAGTCTTCTAATTGACGATACTTTTGTGATGTTAAGTTGTTTGCCACTTTGAAAGATTAGTTCTCGATCATTATCTCTACAAACTTCAAGCTAACTGTTTAGAGTTGACCTGTTCTAAGGTTGTAGCCTTGTTGATTGAATTGAGATATGTTCTCAGTCAAAAAGCCATGGACACTATGCTTCTCTTTGAACATCTAGGGAAACAATAACTGGTCTTGTCCCCTTTTTATCATCAAATGAACACCAGTCCGGAAAGACCAGCCTTGCTCTCCAATGTTCTCATCTAAATATTGGATATTTTGGTTTCTTCATATATGTTTCATGCATACATTGCAATGGTACACTATTTCTTACATTGGATGAGGGTGTATTTTTGCAATGTGTCATTAAATATTTTAGCTTTTAGTTCTTTCTGTTATTCAGGTAAATATATGTTTAAAGATAAGACACATGAAGTATTATACTATCTTTAATAGTTTATGATAAGAAATAAATAATAATTTGAGGTTCTCATATACCGCTTTATCACAACTTCGTTCGTAGGTCACAAATTGTTATCCGTGGTTATAGGACCTTTGCAACCAGCCAATATCGTTCTCAACTCCCTGGGGAGCATACAGCCGGTGCTGCCATTTCGGCGCTCACAGCTAGCAATCTACGATTCTAGCACTGCCCAACCGCGTACTCATTTACAGCTGAGTAGACTGTAACAAGCGGAGTAAAGTATCTTGCTCAAAGATACAACACAGTGCCGTGCCGTGATTCTAACCAGCAACCCTTCGGTCTCGAGCCCGGCGTCCTACCACCACACTACCGTGCCTCCAATAGATAAAAAAATGTTTGAAATGTCACGATGTTTAAAGGGTTATATTTGGAATGTTTCATATTACGAAAGATTTAACCATTCCACATATTTTTTTAACGTTTAAAGAGGTGGATTTAAAAATGAAGGAGTATTCCGTTAAAATGGAAAGTTTGTTGTATATAGGCATTCTCCATCATGTAATAAATAATTGACGCTTCTTTCAGCTTAAAGAATAAAAAAATCACGTATTTTATGTTGCTATACACGTGTATATTTTCCGACTTTTTTGTGCATATAATTCTGTATTGTTTTGTTGAGACGGATAAATCTGCATGTGAAATTAATCGCGTCGTTTGCTCGTTTTTCGTATAATTGTATATTGAAATGCAGCTCAACATGCTACGATGTTGTGAGAGCTTGTAAATTGGTTTGCTGTCTTGAATCTTAGAACAATTAGTCGCCTCTAAGGGGATGCCTATAGCTATATTTCCCCCAAATCTGCAGATCTTCCTCAATGGAAAAATAAAACCTGGAAGGAGGAATTAGTAGTTTTAATCACCTATAAGTGTTATATAAAGTGCAGTTATGGCATCTGTCAACTTAAATTGTATTATATAGAGAAATCAATATAAGATGTACAATGCTCCATCAAATTACTACGATTATTCATGTTAAACTGTTTAACTTGACCTCGAAATATCAATTGACATACTTGCCAATTAATGTTTATGACGTTTGACGGAACAGAAAACTGGTTTTCAAAGTGAACTGTATTTTTCAAGACAAAAGCACTAAATGTTATAATAAACGTAATAGTTAAATTTACATCGAATCCTCAGACCAATTTATGTATAACGGACATATCATATAAATTACTACACCAGAAATGAAAGATCGTAAAGTAAAAAGTGTTATTTCTCCGTTATAGTTCAGTAATCATGAGCATGTTCTATTTTACACACACACACACAACTGTTATGATAGACCTTGGCCTGTAAATGTTTCTGTATTGAGCTTCACCGATATACATATTTTAATTATGAAGCTTAAATAGGATAAGGGTTCTCTCGGCAACCGTCATATAAAGATTGTTAATAAGTATTCTATAATTCATCAGCTGATCTTATCAGTATTTGCCGTGGGTTTGTGAGTGCAGTTTAAATGTTAAACGAGAGGATAGTATGAAGTGTTACATCGTATATAACTACACGCAGCGGGTTGTGCCACAGGTTACATCTATAGTTGCGCGTGATCGTCAGTCGTCGAGTACAGCCCGGGGGCACTGTCAGTAAGTATGGGAGGAGGTTACAGCTTCCCCATGGTGACCCTTTCCCGGGACAGGGTTGTGGTGGTGACGGGCGGTAACCGGGGTAAGTTCAACTCCAGTTTTGCTTACTAAAACAACATGTAACCATATGTATTCTTAAGTCGATGCATCTAGTACATGGCATACAGTACGTCAATTTAAACTCTAGCTTTATATCTGGTGTTTGTTTGGAAAAAATAAAAACAAAATGTTGCAGTACGTGTTAAATAAATATTTGTAACCAGTTAGGATAAGTAGGTAGAGTAAAACGAGATATAAAGCCCCTTGTTACACTTGACATTGACCTCCCAAGTTTTCTTCCTTTATTCTATACATTTCTCTAAATGTGGCGCTTTCTTCCTTTATTACACCAAATTTTCGGTAGTAAAATGGTGTCAATATTACGATATTTTACTTTATTACCGCTGCTGTCTGTCTTTTTGTGTGTAAGTAGTTTAGCTTCCCATGGTTTCGCGTGAGAATGTTTTCCCCACGGCAGATAGGCAAGGCATAGGTACTGGCTCGTCTGTCAATACACCTACATATGTACACTACAATCTTATATGGTGTATTGGCAGACGAGGCTAGTTCCTGTGTGTAAGGTATAAGTTCAACTCATCACTCTGTCTGTTCGGTAATTATACACTTAAATGATCTCAGCGTGCACCTGTATTATACACACATCCACTTCAGGGTTTTTAGACAATACTAGTATTAGCTGTCTAAAACATGACGTAATCAAAAGACGGATTAAAGGCACACAAGTCGATAGATTCATGTTTATTAATGAGAATATATCCAATGAAACCCAGCACATCTTTCCCGTGCACAGCCTTCTTACCCTTGACCCAAGGAATCCTGTAGTCACTTTTTCCTGTAGCCCCATCCCCGACATTCCCTTTTTACGTCTTGGTCCCTACTACGTTATGGACGGCCGTTTTAGGATAAAATACATAAACAACTTAAGTGCAAAAGATTTACACTTAAGTGGAAAAAACTGGACATAATGGCCAAAAACCACATAATGGCATAGCTCTCTGTTGTTTCAACCTTTCCTCGCAGTCCTTTCTCGTCTCTAATAATATCGTGAAGGCTTGCGCCCTCCTCTTAACTTTTACCACCTCCAACCATCTGTTGCTCCTTATTACAATGTATATTCCCTTCTCATCTCTAACTAGTGGTACAGTCCGTTCCGTAAATCCTTTGCGCCACCTTTAGACATATTCTATAACCCTTTACAGTCCAATCCCTCATCTAATTCTGTTACTGCTGTTCCCTCCACCCAAAACTCTCTTGTAGCCTCCTCATGCAATCCTGTCCCGCCTCTAACCCTACCTGCAGTATGGTCGTCATTTCTCGTCCCTTACCCCTTCTCTAGCCCCCTCCCGCAGTCCCTTTCCGCTCCTAACCCTCTCCTATAGCCCCTCCCGTAGTCGCTTTCAGCCTATAACCTGCACCCATCTCTTTTATTAGCTATCGGTAAGTAACATTTATGTGTTTTATGTTTTTCACTGTCCTTTTTAATGATAGTACCATAAACTCGAGCGCACAAGATTTTCAGTTGGAAAAAAATATCCCATAAATATATAAACCGATACAAACATTTTCAATACGCTTACCTGTACAGCATAGTTTCGAATACTTGAAAAAAATGTTTACGTATTTATTAAATCGAACTGATCAGAAAGAGTTGAACACTTTTTGTTTGTTTTTGTTTTTAATCAGGTCTGGGATATGAAACAGCCAAATGGATAGCCATGCTTGGTGCGACGGTCATCTTGGCTTGTCGGTCTGTAGAAAACGGCCGAAAGGTAAGTAACACACGCTATTAATAATTAAACCTTATGTAGAGACAATTTATTCATTAAGTGATTTACGGTATTATTTCTGTTAGTTGAATGGTTATATCTAATGAGTTAGGTAGTTTGTTTTAAGGAGTTAGGTAGATGTGTAGCTATATCTAATTAGTTAAGGCAGAAGTAATTTGATTTAAGGCGTTAAAGTTAAAGCTACGGTAGTGGTTACATTAATGTAAGTAACGGTATACGTTATTTTATTTGTTGAGTCGCTGTAGTTATTATATTTGATGAGTAACATTTATAGGCACAATAATTGAGACAAATGAGCGACAGTTTATGTTGGTGTTCTTGCCTCCTTGTGATAGCGCGGATCTGATGCCGACTTTATAGTGCTATCCGACTGTAATGCCATGCCGAATGCATCAAGCACAGCATTCCGTCCGGTCACACGAGTTACGGTGATGGCTACCTTTAGTACGTTGCGGTATTGTTATAATTCTATGTTCAAATCACGTTACATATGTATCATGTTTAGTTACTCTTAATTTTGCAACAAAAGACTATTGTATCATCGTTTGTGTCAAAGAGTAGAAATAATATACATTACAAAAATGCATTTTTTATACCAGAGTGTAGTTTTCCATATAGACTTGCGAAAAAACCTACATCATGATAATATCTCACGAGTGCTCGAGCAAAATAAGGTAGATTGCAGAATTAAAAAAATTGATGTGCTACACCCTATAAAACAGATGTGATGTTTATCTGTTATTTTAACTCAGCGTATCTCTTTACACATCTACAACTTACCTATTCCTACCGTGTGTCCTTGTATGATTGCACGATACCACCTTACCAAGCATAAGAAAACATAATGAATACACGAACACTTATGCAAAAAAAGAGAACGAGAACAAGTTAAATGCGGAAATATGATATGACTGTGGTTCTTTCTGTTAAAGTACTGTTATCAAATGTCAAGTGTTTCTGAAATGAACATATTAAATAAATGTAAAACTGAAAATCATAACCTCAGAGTAAGTTGTCTATCTGATCGCTGCACTATCATACCCAATCAAAATGTTTCCTCAAAAACGCTGCTATTTTGAAATATAAACATACACTGTAACGTCATAAATCAGTCAGAATTTAAGCATGTATTTGAGGAGCAACATCTTTACATTGATGATGGAAATCAAATTCCTCTATATTAATATTGCATTTCCCCCAAGACACTCTCAAGTATGATTTACCGTTGGTTATCTGGAAATCAATCTTTCATTTAGTGCCGATTTACAGACATGTGTAACAAAATTTAAGTACCCATGAAGTGTCATGAGAATTTTGTTTTCGAACATTTTAACTACATGTATCTCTCAACAATCTCTGCGAGTAAACGAGACATATATTCTAGTAAGCAATATGTGTATCTTACATTTACACTGAGTATTCTTCACAAGAACACTCAGCACACATATATATAGGATATCATTATCCGAACACTATTATAGTAAAGCTAAGGATACATATAACCAAAATTATATTATTTGAAAGTGAAACTTCCTATTTGAGAAATTCTTACATTGTTTTACCTAGAAATACGGGACGTGCTAGGTTGCATTCCACCTTGTATGACTTTACAGTAGGTTACGTATACGTACGATAACTTGCTTCCCAAACCGACGGTTTAACAGTATTATAAACTAGCGTGAGTATAAGACTATTTGGTTTGGTTTGTTTGTGTTTTACATCCTATAAACAGCTATGGTCATTTAAGGACGTGCCAGGTTTTGGTAGTGGAGGAAAGACGGAATTAACGGAGAAAAACCGCCGACATACGGCCAGTACCTCCGCGTAGGTCTCGGACCCGCGACCAAGTGGTGAAGGGCCAGAGGTAGCAGAATATTAGACGCCTTTAAGCACTTGGCCACCGTGGCCCCTCAGTATCAGACTAAAGCCACTGTTGATCGACCGGAAGCGTAACATTGGTTTTCAGTGACAAGGTTTTATTTGGTTTTACAGGCTATAGAAAAGCTAAACAAAGAATTCCAAGAGGAGAAAAATAAAGGCACAAAAGGCCTGTGCGAATATGACGAATTGTCCATGGACGTGATGGAGCTTGATTTGTCCTCTCTTGCCTCCGCCAAGAAGTTTGTCAAAGAATATCTTGACTCCGGTCGTTCTCTTCACATCCTCATATGTAACGCAGGCGTAGCCATGTGTCCACCGGGTAAATATTGTGGAATCGTTTAATATGGTTCCACATAGCATGCCTTATATACAACAAGTAATATGTACAGATTTGGGAAAGTGCAATATAAATATTAAAAAAACATGTACCACTTACATTCTTTACCCAAAGATGGGTGCAAGCGCTATTAACACGTGATCTTCCTTAATAGTTCTTAAAAAGTTTGTCAGCAATGTTGTCGGAAGCCAAGTCAGCATCGTTGTCGGAAGCCAAAAGATGGATTTTATATACGACTAATAATTGCCATTTCGAAATTTGACTTTTGCTTGGAATATTTTGTATGATTCTTATTATTTTTGTATATCAATAATTTAGTTGAATTATTGTCAAATATTGATCAATTCATCAATCCAATTATTATATCAGTTTCTTGAATAAGTGTTTTTTTGAGTAATTTTATTCTTAATGCAAGGTTACGGTGTGCTGTTTTTACATAGTTAATAGTTATCGGCTGCAATTCAGCAGCCTTTATCATTTCTTGCTTGTTTACCAGCCCTAGTCTTGTATTTTGTGTCTGACAACATTTCTTCCGACTTTTAGATAAAGATAACTTGCACTTAATCAGCAATAATGACAGAAAAAATACCGAGTGAGTCTGTCACGTGCTTATCATTATACACATGTTTTGCTGCAACTGTACGGGGTACAGTATTTTGTACAACTGTAATGAAAACTCTATCCTTCCAGCCTTTTATTCATCATCCTTTCTTCATTACAGAGATTACAGAAGACGGATATGAATTGCATTTTCAGGTAAATGCTTAAAACTGTTTTAACTTTGTACAAAGAAAATATGTATATTTGTCTTCCGAAGATTTACCTTGTCCCCTGATTGAAACCATACCTTGATTGACTGAAAGGAAATACATATTTACATGTATATATGTCTTATAAAAATGGCAAAATATATATTATTTCATATTATTATAACGAAATTAATGACAAAAATATCCTTTCAGAAGGGAACGATGGTTTTTGCATGATTTTTGTACAAATTAAAAGTTGTCTGTTTTGAATCGACATTCTCATAGTAAAGTTGCTTTTAAAAACTATACTCGCAGTTTTTGTGTAGAATTAATGAGTTAATTGTTGATCCACATACTAGTACATCATACTTTAGCTGATATGTATCATATGTTCCTTTTTAAACCATTTGACTGTGTAGTAGGGTGGTAGGGTGGCACAGTGGAAAGCCAAGATATAGCCTGGGTTCGCTTCACCGATCGGAAGTGAAAAGGTGAGGAGTCACCTGCCCGACCGAGTGGTTTTTCTCCGGGTACTCCGGTTTCCCCTGCCATGAGGGACAACGAGTGATTAATATAAGTTGTAAAAACTTAATTAATAACTTTTGTAAAATATATAAAGTTTATTATTTTATACATTTGACCGACATGAATTACTATAACTTAACCCATATCAATATACTGAGGACTGTATTGCATATTAATACGTTACTTGAATTGTAGGCCAACTACCTAGGGCACTTCCTTTTGTGTGCAGAGTTACTGCCCCTGATGGAGGCCAACGGCGAGGATTGTAGGATTATTCTCGTTTCCAGCTTCATGCACCTTAACTGTGGATTCGACACAAAGAGAATACAGGGCATATTCCCGTACACACTGTACGATAGGATAATCCACTATGGCAGGTCCAAACTGTACCAGGCAAGTAGAACGTAATCCAACATCGTTAAACTGAAAAGGTTTGTTAACGAGAAAATTTCTTAAAGAGCAATGTGTATATTCCGTGTAAAGAAACTACAATCTAAAATAAAGATAACGAGACTTTTCCTTTTTAAAGAAAACTGTCGTTATGTTTACAGTGAAATTAGTTAAAACTACACACTTCGTATGAATTACTTTATAATCTAATTTTTGCTATGATAACTTAATGTTAATGAGATATCATATAATCTTATCCTAAAGAATTTGAATTTATATCGACAAGAAATGTTAACGTATTTTCTCTCTGGTTGTTACCTATCCAAATCAAGGTATAAAACTACCAAAGGTTTATATGTAGTGCGCGAGACTGTTTCTCAAAGGCAGATTCTGTGAAGCTGACAGTATGTACGTAGTTAATAAAACTGGTTATTCTTCCATATTTTGCTTTTGATTCAACTATCTGANACACACCTTAGAAACACTTTATTTCACGGGGAAAACTAGAGTTAGTTTTTGGATACACCGATAGTTAGCAAGACTAGAGNATACACAGTTTTCTCCCCCGACATATACACAGTTGCCAGATTAGCCTATCGTTAATTAGAAACTGGCTTATATATATATATATATATATATATATATATATGACATATTTTGTCTGCTAAAATCGTTTACGGCCATCCGTAATTGGTGGAGATGGAAAAGGGAGAAATTAAGNTTTATTTTGTCAAAAATGATGTGTAAGCCCGGGCTTTTTTGCTACATAGGTTGTTACGCGCATGAATTTAATAACAATCTATACTGAGGTAAGCATAAGTCTGTATTAACCGCGATTGGTCAGTTGGCCGCTACTGATAAAATAGGAACATTGCTACATTAACGGAATCTGGGAAATTACGTCGCACTATTTTGCGTCAAAACATTGATACCTGTTTCAGTGACTAGCCTTACAATGCTTAAGTCGTAACTCAGTGAATATGATCTTAATGAACCAGCACAGAATGAAAGTCAGCCATATTTTATCGACTTCATAATATAAATGTGTTTTATATAATCAGCTTTAGTGATTTCTTGGGCTGACAGAGTGTGTTTTCCTTCTGCTTTGGTTTAGATTTGTTTGTTAGCTTATTTAGCGTAAAATGACACTCGAAACTGCTTAAGCATGAAGCAGACGGGTGCCTAAGAAATACGTTGAAATACCAGGTGTGACGCTCACTTACGTTATTACAGAGCAAGACGTTAGTGCGCATAACCCCTGATATTTTGAGGACGAGTTGGACATATTGCTCAGAATAGGAGAAAAGTGCTGATATTAGAACAGCGGATCGATTCGGATTTTTGGCAATGTCCCCTAAACAGAAGATACAAACGAAAAAACCCGATTCTGTCGGGCGTTTCGGGGTTGGTGCTTTGGGGACACATTTGTCGTCTCATACGATACGATGCAGTGGAAAATAGCATGATTAATCTGTGCCCGGACCTGCAGGGGTACCATCAATATCAGTTCAGCAAAAACAAAACAGGGCAATTTCAGAAAGGAAGTAATGGTAATACCCGATTTGTAACATAGATATTTACATTGCCTTGTGCCCTAGAAATGTAGTTATTGATATACAATTATAAACTTATATTTGCAAGATTCATCTAGTCACTACAGCTTCGTCAATGGTGACGTTAGTGTTATAAGAGTTACTTCCCCTTGTTCACTGTTTGTGAACAAGGTGTCGTAAACCTGCCTGAGCCGGTAAGCCCCCTGATCTTTGTTTATAACGGGCCCCTGTTTTCTGATCTGTATGGCCTCCTTCACTTGTCGCACTCGCTGGTTACTCTCTCTGTCCATGTTCTTAGCCTACTCCCAGTCTATAACATGATTTACTTTGTTGACGTGGTCCGTTATGGCACTTTTGTGCATTTCTCTTTCTGATGTTCCTGTTGTTATCAATGGACTCAGCTTCCTTTCGATGTTCTTTCAAACGTGTTCCGATCTTCCGTCCAGTTTCCCCTATGTAGACCGAATAACATTTCTTACATCCAATTTTATACACATAGTTACAAGTATCGTTGATAGAAGATTTGTCCTTGGGGTCTACAAGAATGTTTCTGATGATCTGGAGTGGTCTCATGCTGGTCGAGATGCGGTGTTTCTTTAATATCCGTTGTATTGTCTCTGATAGTCCTTTGACGTATGACATAACTACGTTTCCCCTGGTGTTCCCTTTTGTCTGCTGTTTCTTCTTTGTCTTCACGTTTATCGCCGGATTGTTCTTGATCTTTTCATTTACGGTCTTGAAGGTCCATTTAGGGAATCCACATTTCTTGAGCGCTGTTGTAATGTGCTGCTCTTCCCTGATATTGTCTTCCGGTTCTGTGACCACATTGTTGCATCGGTCAAGTAGCGTCCGTACTACTCCCAACTTATGGTGTAGATGGTGGTGGGATGTAAAATGTATATACTGGTCTGTGTTTGTCGGCTTCCGGTATACTAGCAAAATCCATCTGATTTCCTCACAATGGGTGTGTCTAAGAACGGTATGGAATTGTCTTTCTCCTCCTCCTGGGTGAAGTTGATACTGTTGGCGTCGTCCACAGTGTAAAGGTGTGAGTCAAGTCTCCGACATGTCCTTTCTTGAAAACCTCCAGCACATCATCCACATACCTTTTCCATAGAGAAGGGGTACATGTGACAGGGGCTGTGAAAAAAGCTTCCTGCTGTAGGAACCTGTATAGTTGTGTATTCTATGGAACATGTATAGTCCACTATCGGCCTAAGGGGGTTGTCCTTCTTATGTTTTTTTGGGGTACAACATTTCTGGGGACATTTCCCGATGTACATGTAGGAAACAAGTAATAATATTGGGCTTTGGTAATCTTACCTTCCTCTTTCAGTCTCATCAACATTTTGACCAACTTCCGTTTGAATATTCCGGTTGGATCCTTCTGTAGCTTGGTGTATGTTACCTTCTGATCATAACTATCCTTCCCCATCACAAAATTGTTGCTCTGCCTTTGTCCGCTGGCAGGACTATGATATCGTCATCCTTGGCTAATGATTTCCGGGCGAGTCGTTCTTTCTTCACTAACGTCACCAGTGACCAAGATGACATCGTTTTTTTTACATAGCAGTGTCTACATGAATCTTGCAAATATGCATTACATTTCTGCTAAATGACAATTTTCAGTGATACAATTATAAACTATTTAATGGATATGAATGGGTTTATCTTTAACAAACATACATGCATATTCAAGCATCTCTTATTACAAATGTATGACTGGTGTATTCTATCATACCATGTGCTTTATTACTCGACATTCGTCAGTAAGATATTTTCTCAAAAATCTGGTGTAGTTGTTTGTTTTGGTAATAAGCCGATAGTTTACTAGTCAGGCTAACTGAAGCTGTCGTATTTTGGCTTATATTTAGTAGACTGTGTTGTTTCTGACCTTGTTGCTTAAGTTCTAACTGCCATTCTCATTGCCTCTGAGTTTAAACAAAAGACAGAAAACATATTTTTCAGGAAATTTGGGGTTTTTGTGGTTGTTTAATATTTGGAGACGAAATTCTTTGTCAACGTTCAGCCTTTCTCGAAATATAGAGACTTAAAATGATATATTTTGACCGCTACTTCAAATTGTAACAAAGAAGTTAAATAATTCTGCAATATTGATTAATATGAAATAAAATATTGGAAGGTTAATATAATTGTGATTTTTCTATTTATGTTACGGTAGGCTTTAAAACGACGTATCAAGGTGCTACGGTGACTATTGACGCGGCTGTGAATCCTGATAAACCAGACAGTCCATATTACACCAATAATAGACCGTCCCACCACAGCAGTACCTCACGGTAATGTTTTAAACCTCATGGTTACACACTATTAACAACTCGAACGTGATCGTTTTTTTTGAGTAAAATTTATGTGAACGAAACGAATATCTTAATGTAGTATGACATAACAATCATAACTTGAATATATAAGTACGAAGCGTGCATGATCTTTATACTAAAGATAAAATGACTTTTCCAGGAGTGAGGATTATCAAAAACGTCTTTGGATCTACACCCTCGATTGTCTAAAACCCTTCATGATGGCCGAAGTATGGAATAGGCTGACGTCGTTCATTCGAGCAGTGGAAACGGACGACACTTGATTCATTATTAACAATATAATTCGACTTTGTTAAGAAGGACTAATATGTGATGCTTTTTTTCTCTCAAATAAAGTTCAAAATCTATCTCAGTTCGTGATTTTGGCAAATCAACGAGAAACAAATATTTCTTGTAACGTACATGACTCCAATTATACTTACATTTTACTAACGAAGATACGGGAGAGTTGCTTCACCTGATTACTAAGCACATATGTGATATAAATCAAATTCCTGCTTTTCCCGAAGGACCAAGTGAGCTTATGCCGTGGCGCGGCGTCATGTCGTCCGTCTGTCGTCCGGCGTCCGGCGTCCGGCGTCAATATTTTGCTTTAAACAACTTCTTCTGAATAACCAAAATGCATAGGGTGATGATATTTGGCCAGAAACAAACTGGGATAAAGGGCTACAAAGTTTGTTAAAATGAATGACCTTTACCCATTTTCAAGGTCACAGGGAGCAAATATGTTCAAAATCATTAAACAATTTGTTCTGAATAACCAAAAGGCCCAGGATGTTGGTATTTAGTCAGTAGCTTGCTGGGATCAAGGACTACCATATTTGTTAAATTGAATGACTTTGACTTATATTCAAGGTCACAGGGGTCAGATTTGTTTAAAATCTTTAGACGACCTCTTCTAAATAACCATGGGTCCCGGCATGTTGATATTTTGCATGTTGCATCCTGAGATGAAAGGCTATAAAATTTGTTCGATATAATGACCTCTTTCGACTTTCAATCACATGGGTGAAATGTTTTATAAAAAATTAACATGTTCTTTTGAATGAATTTTAATCATTAATACTGATATTTTGCCTGTAGCTTTATTTTAGATCACTTTTAAGGTTACAAGTGTGAGATTTATACCAGGTGAGCGATGCGGGCCCATTGGTCCTCTGGTATGGAAATGTTATCTTCAGTTTAAAATATTGAATCAGCCGTTCATATAGGAAATAGTGATAAGGGATCTGTAAGCAATTTCCATATAACAATATATTGCAACATTCAGGAAAATGTAATACAATACAATATGTTGTATTCAGTGTTCAAAATACTTTTCATAGAAAATGTTGCATGAACTTCAGTTCAACAAATTTTATAGATAATTTGAATTTAAAAAAAATAAAAGTTTGAAAATTCTCTTACAACTAAGCTTAATTTTGATAATATCCATTTCATTTTAAGCAGCGTTTCTATAAAATTATTTCGTATCTGTGCTTTAACCCTAGAAATAGTTAGATATATTCAAATATGTTGGCATTTCAAAAATAGTCATATTGCAAAAATACATGTTTGTATTGTCAAACCTTGCATTATATTGGTATTGCAATGTTATTGTCAACCCCGACATACAATTGAAGTACTTGTATTATTGTGTTATCTCTCTTCGATGGTAAACATTGACCAGTAATTTGATAACAGTTATTACCATAACATAAGTGGTTATTCAAACATAAGTGGCTATTCAAACATAAGTGGCTATTCACTCGTATGACTGACACTAAGTAAAGTGATGGTAACGCTGTACTTAACACAGTACTCGCTCGTATGTATGATATAGAAGATGCAACAACTGTAGACTACTTTTACATGCCATGGTGTTCTATAATATAAAACTGCAGTGCTCACAATATAAACTTAGTCCTACATGTTTTAGCTGATAAGACAAAATGCATGACGGATATTTCTTTATTCGAACAATGAATTGCATAAGATAATTTTCAATGCTGAATTGTTAAATATAATACAATGGGGGGCCAGGTGAGCTTGTTCCATTGCGCAGTGTCCGTCCGTCCGGCGACAACGTTTATCTCGAAATAACTTATTTTGCACAACCAAAAAGCCAAGGCTGATACTGTTTGGCCAGTGGCATGCTGGGAGGAAAGGCTACCAGGTTTGGTCAAATAAATGACCTTAACCCATATTCAAGGTCATAGGGGTTCATTATCTTAAAGAAAATTTCAACAGCCTCTTCTGAATAACCAAAAGACCAAGGGTGATAACATGTGGCCAGCAACATGCTGGGATAAAGGGCTTCCGACTTTGTTCACTTCATTAACCTTTTTTGCAAGGTTGAAGGATCCGATTATGTTTGAATTAATTACCTTCATTCATGTTCATGGTTACTGGGGTTAATCGTCTTAGAAATACTTTTAACAAATTCTACTAATAACCAAAAGGCCTAGGGTGATGATATTTGGCCAGTAGCATGCTGGGATTAGGGCTACCATGTTTGTTCAAATCAATGACATTGACTCATATTCAAGGTCACTGGGGTCATATGTGTTAAAAATTTAAAAACAACTTCTTCTGAATAAACTAAATGGCTAGGGTGATGATATTTGGCCAGTAGCATGCTTGGATGAAGGGTTGAAATGAATGATCTTCACCCAAATTCAGGGTCACAGGGGTTTATTATCTTGAAGAAAAACTTTCGCCAACTTCTTCGGAATAACCAAAAGGCATAGGGTGATCATATTTTGCTAGTTACATGGTTGGCGGAGCATTTATCATATTTGTTTAAATGAAAGACATTTGCCTTTAGTGAATGTTTAAATATTTCAACAACTTCCCTGAACAACTAAAAGGTCTAGGGTGATAACATTTAGTCATTTAAATGATCCCTTTAAGTACTTTTTTATTTTGTTCAAATGAATGACCTTCACCTATATTAAACGTCTCTGGGTTTAACATTATCAAACCATATATTAAATGTGTTAAATCCAAAAACTAGTTTGAAAAACATTCTAACAACTTAGTCTGAAAAACAAAAAGGCCAAGGATGATGATATGTGGCCTGATACATATTCATATAAGACCTATAAGGTATTTCCAAATGAAAGACCTTCACTCATATGCAAGGTCACATGGGACAAATGTGTTGAAAACTTTAAAATATGCTTCTTCTGAATAACCAGATGCATAAGGTGATGATATTTGGTCAGTATCATGCTCAGATTAAGAGCGATCACGTTTTTTTTCGTGTAAATGACCTTGATCCATTTTCAAGGTCACAGAGTCAAATGTCTAGGGCGGTCATATTTGGTAAGTTGCCAGCTGGGATTAAGGGCTATACATTTTTTTTACACTTTCAAGGTAACAGAGGTGAATATGTTGAACTATTTTAACAGGTTTCTTGAATGACTAAGATTCATAGAAACTGATATTTGACCTGTTACTTTATTTGAATCCACTTTTAAGGTAAGATGTGTGCGATTTATACCAGGTGAGCGATGCAGGCCAAGTGGGTCTCTTTTTTTATTGATGAAACTCATATATATAATAATCTTTCGACAGAGTCAGAAATTATTGATATAATAATATCGTTAGGTTTGCATTGTCATTACAGGGGAAAACACATTGTTTGCATTTATGTAGCACTCATCAGTTATGTACAGTACGCTATAACAACATCAGCAAAATGGTACGGACCGCATCTGCTTTCTTGATAAAAATGTACATGTGGTTATAGGCTAAGAAGGGTCGAACGGTGCTTGATTCTCCTGAAAGTATCAAAAGTATTGTCGGTCTGTAGAAAACGGCCGAAAGATAAGTATCACACGCTATTATATCCGTTATCGAGTCACGGTAGTAGCATGGTTATATATAATGAGTCAGGTAGTTTGTTTTAAGGAGTTACGGTAGATGTGTAGCTATATCTAATGAGTTAGGTAGTTTGATTTAAGGAGTTAAAGTGGATCACGATTATATTTCTTTAGACAGTTAATGGTGATTACCATAGAGGAGTTACGGTAGTGGTTACAATGTGAATTAATAAGTTGTTTTATTTAGCGGGTCGCTGGAGTAATTATATTTGATGAGTCACACTTATAGTCACATTAAATGAGATAACAGTTGTGACCACCTTTAGTGTATTATGGATGTGGTTACATTAGTGAGTTATAGAAGTAGCTCCATAGCAGTGGCTATCTTGAATGAGTCACGGTGATGGCCACCTTGAGTTGGTTGCGGTATTGTTACAATGCTGTGTTCAATCACGATAAACGAGTATCTATCATTATTTTCAATGTACTGTATAGTTACTCTAGACATACTATCAACCGTACTACACAGAATTTATCTGAAGAAATTTGCCTATTAGTTTTGAAACAAAAGACTTGTATCATTATTTGTGTACAAATAATATATATAAAACAAATACATTTTCTATACCAGAGTGCGTTTGTAGTCCTAAGTTATCCATATAGACTTGTGAACAATTTCATGATAACATCTCATGAGTGTTGGAGAAAAATAAGGTAGATTTCAGAAACACAAAATTGATGTGCTGCACCCTATAAAACAGATGTGATGTTTATCTGGGCCGGTATTCATGAAAACCGTTCTCATGCTCAAGAATGATTTTTGTGCTCAAGCCATAATTCTTGATTCGATTATAAATTAATAAAACAATATAATTTTTTCAATGATTTGGAAAGGAATGGAAGAGACGTAAAGCCGAAAACAGTTTCCACTGTTTATATTTTACTTTTTCGATTGTTTTACATGATTTAAGTGAGATACAAGAAAGCTGGTTTGAGCACAGATTCCATGCTTGAGCATGAGAACGGTTTCATGAATACGGGCCCAGGTGTCCCTCCTTCTACTACATTTCAACTTCAGCTTACGGGACGTGCTAGGTTGCATTCCACCTTGTATGACCTTACAGTAGGTTACGTATACGTACGATTACATGCTTCCCAAACCAAAGGTTTAACAGTATTATAAACTAGCGTAGTATAAGACTATTTGGTTTGGTTTGTTTGTGTTTTACATCCTATAAACAGCTATGGTCAATTAAGGACCTGCCAGGTTTTGGTAGTGGAGGAAAGCCGGAATTAACGAAGAAAAACCGCCGTCATACGTCCAGTGCCTGCTCCACGTCGGTGTCGAACCCGCGACCCAGTGGTGGAGGGCCAGTGGTAGTAGAATACCAGACGCCTTTTAGCACTTGGCCACCGTGGCCCCTCAGTATTAGACTAAAGCCACTGTTGATTGACCGGAAGCGTAACATTGGTTTTCAGTGACAAGGTTTTATTTGGTTTTACATGCTATAGAAAAGCTAAACAAAGAATTTAAAGAGG